CTGTGGAGATGATCAGGCAGGGAGTGCAGGGCAACTGTCTTGCATAGAGGTGTAAATGTACTCAACTCCCTTTTTGACAACTTGCATGAGTGGAAATCTGCAGGGCAGTGAGTATTCTGTTCACATTATTGGCAAGGAGAGCACATCTGCAAGGCATTTTAGTAAAAAGTGTGAAAGCGGGAAAGATGACTGTTCATAGGGTGACGTTTTTGGTTGAACAGCGTTTTATTGATTACACTATCATTACATTAAGTATTTAAAGCCACACTGTCCAGGATTTGGGAATGTATATATGTCTGTCTGCCCTGCGATGGACTGGTGACCTGTCCAGGGTGTATCCTGCCTTCCACCCAATGACTGCTGGGATAGGCTCCAGCTCCCCCCGTGACCCAGAAGGATAAGCGGCTTAGAAGGTGTGTGTGTGTGTGTGTGTGCGTGTGTGTGTGTGTGTACAGGATTTGGGGATTTGGAGACCTCTCTGGTGAAAATATGTAATTGTATGCAGCAAGCATGTGTGCTTTGAGTCCCTTCACCGAGCGGATTAATCTGATTGAGCGCGGTTAGAGGGTATTCAAAGAGAACACAGTCAAAACTTGTTGTAATCATATTTTCAACAGTATAATGCTGATTTTGCATTTGAGAACTTTTAGCCTGTGCGTGTGACGTTAATGCATGAAGACGTATGACGTGGTACAAAAAACTGCCACCTGACTTGACATCCCAGACTTGTAAATTATTATTTAAGGCTTTAGAGAGCGGCTAGCAGCAGTGCACGCTCGCCATATTTTAATTTTTAGTATGTGTGTGTGTGTGTGTGTGTGTGTGTGTTTTCCTCCTGACTCGGTAATGCTACATCTTTCAGTTTTAATAAATAAATCTTACATAGTGCAGCTTTAGGTCTCTCACATAAGAAACGGTCTTCACGATTGCTTTGATCTATCATTTGCTTCCTGTAACATTTGCTTCCTGATTTCTCCTGAACCCCTACAGTCATTATGTGTTCATCGCGGAGTCGGGTCACTATTGAGTCTTTCGCTGACTGACTCATAACTCATCTCAGACTAGCCTTTGTCTTAGAGGTGGACAATACAACAAGCCATTTCCACAATACACTGATTCTTATGATTTTATTCACTGTTTCCTACACTGCACTGCACTAAATGGAATCAGACAAACCTGATTTTACTCTCTGTACAATTAACGGTGCAGTTAGTCAGCATTTACGTACTGACAATATGCTCGGAAAGGTATGTTGTAGCATAATCATGATGTTGATAAATGTTGTCATTGCCCACCCCTACTTCGACTGACGTGCAGCTCAGCTTGTGAAATTTCAGCTTAGGAAAAAGCATGTGTAAACAATCTTCCACAGTAAACGAAACTTTTCATTTCTGACCTAATGTGTACACTTTGCCTTTCAGTTTTACAGCTGTTTTTACAGCTGTTTATGGTCATTTACTGTGATGCTGTTCTCTCGCATCAGTTTCAGGTTCAGTATGGCTTTCAGTAACAAGCATTTTTAACCTTCAAAACCTTTAACCTGGAAAAACCTGATAGACTTGATTCAAGCTGATAGACATGACCAAAGAGCTACATGCAATAACTGTGCCAGTTTAAAGAAACTTGCAAAACGTGAAATAAAAAAAGATGAGAAAAAAAAATCCACAAAAGGTTGGTTAGACTGCAGTTTAGATAATATGGCAGATTTAATAAATAGGATGGGATAATAAATCGGATAATAGGCCAGATATTGCCTGATGGCTAATGTAGCTGCTGTGGTCCTTTTACTGGCTTCCTGTAGCTGCCCGCATTAGATTTAACACCCTGATGTTTGCCCACAAAGCCAAAAATTGACCAGCCCCTCCCTACATTATAGCAATGGTCAAAACTCAATCTGTACTTCGCGCCCTTTGAGCCAGTACAGCTCTGCTTGACCCACATAGAAGACAAGCATCAAGACTCTTCTCTGTGGTGGCACCTGGGTGGTGGAATGAACTTCCACTGGCTGTCCGAATGGCAGACTCTCTTGCGGTCTTCAAACACAGACTGAAGACACATCTCTTTGTGAAGCACTTAAGTGAGCACTGATCTAAGTACTTTTGAAATGCTTTGGATTGCACTAATGCTAGGTTTAACTCTGCATGTTTCTTTCTAGCTGTTAGCACTGGCTTCTGTTTCTCGCAGTATCTGAGCTCAAGGGTGGGTTGTACCAGCTATATTCATGGACTGCAAAGCACGTTAGTAAGTCACTCTGGATAAGAGCGTCTGCTGAATGCCATAATTGTAAATCTAAGTTACAGATAACTTGTAAACAGTAATGAGTTCATATGATATTTTTCACATAGTGGTTTATTAAGTATATAAGAGTGAAAGTGAAAGGAACAAAGCATCACTGACCTTTTGTCCATGTTAGGTGTACACACATGCAGACAGGGCCGTCCCAGACAGAAAGCTATAACTGACGTCTTAATACTTGTCACTACCCCACAGTGCATTCTGTAAAAATAATAAACCAGTGGAAGCTCAGTTGCTAATAGCAATTTGAGTCTTAACTTCACAACTAAAAACTTGACTCTGACTTTTTCATGAAGTGACTTGTGAACATCTCTGATTAATAGTATGCTGTTTTTTCCGCTGTGAGAGGAAAGTACAATGTAAAATTGTACTTTTTGTCTAAACATTGCCATCATTTTCATCATCATCACAGCCATTATCATCTCTAGTTCTTCTACAATCTCCAGTTATTAGCACAGATGTTTAGTTGATCAGTCCATTAGAGCAGGCCAAGCTGAGGCCTCATCCATGTCCATTTCCTGTATTAGAGGCAAAATCAGGCCACAAAGTGCCTCTATGCTTGAAACATGAAGCAAAAATGATGGAGGTGGTTAAAAATTCCATTTCTGTCCATTGATTTGTGTCAAATAGGTACAATAATTCCAATTATTAGTTTGTTCATGCTGTTGCACTAGCCTTATGAACTTTGTTTACTGACGTTGAAAAAAGCTCATTTTCTTGCTGTCACTACTAAACGACCACCAGAGAAATGGCTTTTCAGCTCATTCATAGGTTGATTGTGTTGTTTCTGTGGATTGTACCTCAGATAGCAATGTTCAGTGTCCTTACACACACACATATATATATACTATTTGGGTGGTGTATCATTCTCAGCACTGCAGTAAGACTGACGTGGTGGTGGTGTGTTAGTGTGTGTTGCGCCGGTCTGAGTGGATCAGATACAGCAGTGCTGCTGGAGTGTTTAAACACCTCAGTGTCACTGCTGGACTGAGAATAGTCCACCAACCAAAAATATCCAGCCAACAGCGTCCTGTGGGCAGCGTCCTGTGACCACTGATGAAGGACTAGAGGATGACCAACACAAACTGTGCAGCAGCAGATGAGCTATCGTCTCTGACTTTACATCTACAAGGTGGACTGATAAAGTAGGAGTGTCTAATAGAGTGGACAGTGAGTGGACACAGTGTTTAAAAACTCCAGCAGCACTGCTGTGTCTGATCCACTCGTACCAGCGGAACACACACTAACACACCACCACCACGTCAGTGTTACTGCAGTGCTGAGAATGATCCACCACCCAAATAGCACCTGCTCTGTGAGGGTCCATGGGGGTCCTTACCACTGAAGAACAGGGTAAAAGGGGGCTAACAAAGTATGCAGAGAAACAGATGGACTACAGTCTGTAACTGTAGAACTACGAAGTGCACCTATATAGTAAGTGGAGCTGATAAAATGGACAATGAGTGTAGAAACAAAGATGTGGTCATAATTTTATGCCTGATCGATGGGTGTGTATCTGTGTGTATATTACTTACTACATATGATTACCATAGCCATGCCATAAGCACATCATGGCAGATATCATATGTTGTCATAGGTTCTCATGACAGATTTTGTTCAGTAATATTTAGCTGTTGCTATTATATGTTGCTATTGTATTCCTGGACATAATCACTCATGACAGCATATGACATCTGCCATGACATGTTTATGGCATGAGTGTGTCAGCAGGGTTAAAGCGAAGCAATACATTATTTTTTAATGTTTTTAATACTGTTTTGATGGAGAGACAAAATTGAGCATGTGGAATTTTGCAAAGGTTATAAAGGTTGTAGTATTCGTCTCATTTAGAGAATCCGGTGCTCTATTACACTGTAATTCAGAACAAAAGTACTCTCGCATTTAATGGCATTTACAGCAGTCCTAATTAACACCATGGAGCTGATTGATTGCAGCGCTGTTTAATGGCTCTGATACCCATCAGCTCATACTGCACATGGTGTGTAATCCATTTACCAAAGCACTCTTCCCCCCACTGTGAATATTTATAGTCTCTGTTCGTTATTCAGTGATAACACCTGCTTATTAGGGAAACACACTTTATTGAATGAGGATGGTGTCTGTGTGTTTATTTGTTTGTGCATCTGTGTCATCGCTGAGGCTTCACTGTACGAGTTCCAGATCTCAGATGCATCTGCACTGTATGTCCAAGAGTTTGTAGACACCTACACCTACATAGGGAGTTTGTCCCACTTTGCTGCAGTAACAGCCTCTACTCTTCAGGGAAGGCTTTACACTAGATGAAACACTGCTGTGAGGATTTGATTGCATTCAGCCATAAGAACGTTAGTGAGGTCAGGTACTGATGTTGGATGATCAGTTCTGGGTCACTCCAACTCATCCCAAAGGTACTGGAAGGAGTTCCATCATTCCAGAGAATGCACTTCGACTGCTCCACAGCCCACTGCTGGGAGCTTTAAACCCCTCTATTCGATGCTTGGCATTGGGAATAGTGACCTTAGGCTCATGTGCTGTTTCTCCAGACCATATTCTATTCACAGTGCTTTTCTTTGGAAAGTAAACAGTCTGGCTGTGTACAAGACATCTGTGTCAGCAATGAGCCATGTGGCCTTTTCATAATCTGTTAGGATTTTAAAAGTTGTGTAATGTATCCACAGCTCAAGGATTTTCTTCTTGTGTTTCAGGTCCCAGACACAGAGTGTGCTCCTCGGCCAGTTTCTGGAGTGCAGTGCAGGAGTCTGAGGAGCACAGTTCAGTGAGTATGGGAGCGTCCTCCAGTGACCTGCCCTCTCTCGCCACTGAGGAGCCACCCAGCCAGGACACCTCCCGCCCACATTCACCCAGTGAGTACGACCAGCCACTACACAGTAACACGTGTCTGTGTGTCTGTGTGTGTGTGTGTGTGTGTGTGTGTGTGTGTGTGTGTGTGTGTATCCTGACAAATTTTGATATTTTCATACCTGTAAGGGTTAATGAACAAATAATTTGCTTAACCTTGTAGAAGAAACAAATATTGGAAATTAATGTAACGCGCTAGGCTTACCTTTTTGGGTGAAAGCACTGACGTTGCACAAAATAGTCAAGGTAAATCAGAAGGTTTTGGAAGAGTAACAGAGACTTCCTCTTTGGCTTCCTCATTGTCCTGTCACAGGTGGACAGTGCGCCAACATGTCAGTCGGTCAGCGAAATTTCCCCTGTTTCTGAAACTTTTCACATTTTTCTTTACAGTTCATACATAGAATTGCTGTTTGGTGAATTGTTGGCCTGTCTTCTTATCCTGCTTCATAGTGGAACATGATGAATACCCAAATAGTGATTTCAGTGTTTGAATGCTGGCATCTTGAATGGTTAATTCGAGGAGTACTTGAGTACCTGTGCACATCCCAAGTACGCGTAAATGCATAGACTGTGGAATTTAGGTTTGATAGAACAGGTCAAGCATCAGTGACCACAACCACCAACTAAAATACAAAAGGCTTATCTTTTATAAGATATAATAGACACTTAAAGAAATTGTTTTCTTTTAGGTGAAACTTTAGGTGAAAGACTTTGTTCTTTTTGGTTACATTAGCCTTGTAGTTCCAGTACAAAACTAAAGAACCAAACTTCAGACACAAAACATGATTAGCTATTTAACTAAGTTGGGGGTAAAAATTGTATAAATTATATGTTCCAGCAAATCATTTCTTTAAAGGGCTCGTATCCTATATTTTTTGTATATTTCTTCCTGAGGTCCACTTTTAACATTTGTGAGGTTTTACATACCAAAAACCGTCATAATTCATTTTTACATGACCATTTTCCAACCTGTCTTTATCACTTAGAATTAAACAGCCTTTATAGTACTGAGCTTTTATATGTAAATTATCTCTGTTCTGGTTGGATACCCTATATTGTGCCTCATTCCAGAAGCCATCTGGGCTGAAACACTCCTTATAACTTTATGTTGAATGGAATGACTTTATATGAATGCTCCACTTACTTCTTATGAATTTATGGTGTTTGTGATCCATAGAGACCTAGTAGGCCTATAGGTAACTACCATCTACTTTCATGCAACAGAATAGGTAGGATAATAAATTCATACCAAGAAAATAGCATCTACGCACAGCCATACGCAAAAGTTTGGCCCCCTTGGTGAAATGACATGTTCTGTTGATTGAAAATAATTTAACTCATCCTTTACAGAGAACACACTTCTGCACATTTTAATACACAATTACTGATTATTTGCTGGGTTTAACATATTGAGGGGAGGGATAGCATGTAAATTGTGGCCTGTGCAAAAGGGATGGCATATTTATATTTTACATTTTATTTTTTCCCCCCAATATGTTTAACTGAGAAAATAAATTGAATTGAATTGACCACTAAAATTTGCAGATAAATACCATATTTAATTGTGTACCCTTTAGTGGATGTACCACCTTATTTATAGTTAAAAAAAATCAACAAAATGTAATTTGACTGGAGGTGTCGAACTGTATGGATTTTATAAAGTGAATTTTATATGCTAGAGATGTTTTTTAAGGGTGGCCACTCTTATTCCATATTCTAGGCATGTGCAGGCACTTGCGCACCTTTGAATGCCTCCTAGTCTCGCTCTAATAAAAATCTTAAGCCAGTGGTTCCTAATCCTGCTTCTGGAGTACCCCTGCCCTGAACGACTGAGAATTTTGAGTGCTCTTTCACACCCACTTCAACTCAGTAAGGCTGTTTAAGCAGCCGATTAGTTGAATCAGGTATGTTAGAGCAGGGAAAACACCATGTTCAGGGCAGAGCTACTCCAGGACCTGGGCTGGGAGCCACTTAAGCACCTGTACACACTCACACATACTCATATGTTCAGTCATCCTTTTGTTTGCAGCCCGTTATTGATTCACCTTTGAAGAACACCCTGAGTCAGTCAGAGCTGAACTCTTATCAGTCCTGCTTTTATAACAGTTCACAACAGAGCATTCATTTCCTCCCAGTGACTCACAGTGCCACTCCCTGTGTGTGTTTGAGCCTTGTGTTTGCAGGCAATGCCCCTCAGCTCACCTTCACACGGCCCATAAGGCTGGAAAAGCCCACAGGACCCGAGCAGCGCATAGAAAACGCTGAATGAAATCAGGAGTGAAGCTGCCAGCCTGGCCGGGCTGAGCCCCAGGCGAGTGCGCGGGGCGAATGAACAGCCGTCAGGTTGATGGGGAAATGATAGATGAACCGAGATGCACAAATTCTCGGGGCTCCTGACAGGTGTTCCTCAGACGCTCTCTCGGCGGCTGAGTAATGAGGGCTGTGAAAGAGCGCTCTGCTGATTGCAGTCAGAAATCTCTCCCTCTCTAGCGGAGATAATTCACCGCGGAGCTGTTAGCGTTCAGGACTGATCCATCTGCACTCACCTCAGCCGCCCAGCAACAGCTCACTCAGAACGAGGTTTCTATGGAGACCGGGGCCGGCTGAGGTGCTTTTGACAAGTTTTATTTATTAAAACACAGCCCGCTTCTTTTCTGCCTCCATCTGAGGGCGAACATTGAGCCATCACTGCAGATTTTTTGAGTGGGCAGAAAAGTGACCTTGAGAAAAATGAATATTGTTGCAGTAAATGAACGCATTAGTCATTGCAAGTTATGCAATAGAATAATCACAAAAGTCTGCTTGTCTGTTTTTGTCTTTCGTCCTGGTTCAATTCGCGTGACTGAAGGCCTCTGGAGTGACCATCTTAGATTTTAGGTTATATATATTTTATTTTTTTTTTTACCTCTCTACCATCTTTAATTATACATATTGTAACCACAGCATCACTTACCATGGTAGCTTTCCTGTACTCCGCACAATGACAAAGTTGAATCTAATTTAATCTAAGTAATCTAAATTTCTAATGTGTGTGTGATTGTGTGTGTGGATGTATAAGTCTGTCTGTCTGCCATGCGATAGACTGGCACCCTGTCCAGGGTGTATCCTGCCTTCCGCCTAATGACAGCTGGGATAGGCTCCAGCTCCCCCTGCGACCCAGAAGCATAATCTAAATATCAGGAAATAATGTTATTGTGCCCAATAGATTTTAAGCTTGGGTCTTACATGTAGAGGATTTTTTAAAAATGGCCGTAGTCTTTTTGTCCTGTAGTATTTTTGCACTAAGTGACCGCTACCAAAAAGATGCAGAATTTGAGTCATTATTTTCACATTGTCAGCCAATAGTCATGAAATAAAATAAAATAAATAAATATCCAAAAGAGCAAGTTAAGATGTGTCTTTTTCACATATGTTATGTCTCATGTTGTAAACCATGTATGAAGTGCTGATAAACAGCAAGCTGAAGTTTATTTTACTCTGCTCATATAGTTTTAAATGGAACAAAACGACATCAACATCACTTAGTGAACTGGTCACGTTTGGTATCAGAGAAGTAGCTCTTCACAAACCTGCTGTTGTTTTTAGCTAAAAGGTACGAGGTGACATAAGTTACAGTGTGACGAGGCTTGTAATGTTAGCTGCAGGTTAGCATTTATCTGTTTACCTTAAAGACCTTAACTGCCCTCTTGTCTTGGTTTATATTTTAAGCAGTATGTCACGTAATATGGATTTGTGAGCTGGTTTTAATCTAGTACAGTAGTAGTGATATAGAGTGGCTTTTTTTTTGCATGTCATCCAACTACCAAATCATCCACTGTGTGGTAGCCCTGTGGCCTAATGAGTCCTATGTGAAATTTTTGTTTGTTTTCTGTTTTTGTTTATTATCAGTATTTTTTAATAATGCTCTGTAAATTGGAATATCAAAATTAACTTAAATGCACATTTCTACCAGATGCATGGTAGGTTTAGGTACTTCTTAAAGGCTCAATTCCTCAGAAGGTAATTTATTTGTGAGCCTAACAATTTTCTTTTAGGTCAGTTGGAGTTTTTTTTTTTAAATCAGTTGATTTTTTTGTCCTGTATGAGTGATGCACTGTTGTGAGACATAAAATTCAGGGTTAGAAGTAAGTGTTCAGGGCCCATATCATGGAAAACTGAATTTCCTTCGCTTTTTGGAAATAAAGGAGTTTGAAGTAATATGTATGCATTGTTAAAGATTCAAAATAGACCAGTCCACAAAGCCCATATATGAAAACTAAGGTAACAGCCTGTTTTGAATTTGTTGCTTCTGTAATGTCACAAGAGCCAACACATTTACACATATCCACGCATTCAGCCTACAGTAGTACCTGCCGCCTGTTTACGCTGAAGTTATAAGTGATGTTTCAGCATAGAGTGCTTTTTGAATGAGGCATGATACAGGACAGCCAATCAGAACTGAACCCATTTGCATATATCACTCTTAAAGGCACAGTAAGAAAAACAGCCTGTTTAATTCTAAGGGATAAATAGAGGTTGGAAAATGGTCATGTAAAAATGTTGGTATATAAAAACCTTAAAGGAAAGATAAAAAAACAAGAAAATCATAGGATATTGGCCCTAAGCAAGAAATCCTGTTTTCTGAGACAGACCCTTGCTGTTGGGTTTTTCTGTGGCTCTATACACAGACAGTCTCACTGACCAAATGGCCTCTGAGTGCTGATGTTTGCTCTGCTGGGCTCAGTGTGATTATACACACTCCATTTACACAAACATCATGTCACACTCAACACCTGGTCCTGTTTGTTGTTGTTTGTTGTTTGTTTGTGGCTGGCTGTAAGTACCAGGTGTAACTAGCAGTTAGGTTTTGTGCTTTAAGTCTGTTTGTACAGTATTATTTGAGTGTCCACAGTCTCTGTCAGTCAGTTAGCTGTATTTCTGGACATGTGACTCAGTCTTTGCAGTTTTATTTCAGTGTCGATAGGGACAATACCGCATGTGTCCTGTGTGTGTTTTATGAGCGTGT